AATGCTGCAAGTGTGTGTTGGTGATTTGGTACCAGTTTAGACTTTGAAAAATCGACCGGTTCATTTTGGCCTAGAAGTGATTAAAATGTCAAAAAATTAGCTGTTTTTTTGCTTCATTAGTGTTTGAGCCTTGAAAGTGTCAGCTTCTAGTTGTCTCCTTCAGTTGAGCTATTACGTACGCAGTTTCAACACACACACACACACACACACACAAAAAAAAAAAACAAGAAAACCCAAACCCCCCAAAACAGGTACATAGATTTAGATGTTCAAGGTAGTGTAACTGTCATCAACATGCAGTCTGTTTATAAACAGTGTCAGTCAATAGATCCAGCTTCTGTGCGATGGCAGAAGGGAGAGCTCAGTGTGCGTGAAACTTGGAGCCGTCTAGGAATGGACATTACACATTATAACGGTCGCCATTTTTTGACTCTGATCGATTGCGGCCCCACACGGTTTTCGATCTGGCGGCCGCTAGTTCTGCAAGACGCTGCACACGTAATCCGGCAATTGGAGTCGGTGTTTTTCGAACGTGGTGCCCCAGTGGAGATCCTGGCTGATAATGACACTGCATTCCGCAGTCAGCAATTCAAACAATTCACAGAAGAATGAGGCGTCCGATTCCGACCGCGCTGCGCGTACAAGCCATCTGGAAATGGTATTGTAGAGAGGTGTCATCGGACAATCAAACGGATTGCTGCGCGAAAGAGCTGCTCTATTATGGAGGCCGTGTATTGGTATAACATCACACCCAGGGATGATGTGTCTGCCTCTTCTGCGCCCGCCAATCTGCTGCATTCGTACAGAATTCGAATAAAAGGAATTGACGTTGTGCCCTCGCCTAACCGGGCGACTTCGACTCAGTATAAAGAAGGAGATGCAGTTTGGGTAAAAAATCCGCACGGACGTTGCACGTCAAAGTTTGTGAAAGGTCGTGTCACGGGGATAAACTGTCCACAGACGGTAGTCATCGATGGGATACCGCGGTACGTGGGAGATGTATGTCCACGGCTCACTTCATTGTTACCAGCGGATGATGGCGGTGACACAACGTCAGGGAGTCATGAATGGCAAGAACCAAGCTCTAGTGGAAGCAGCAGCGACACCCCATCTGAAAGCGAGAAAGAAGTAGACTTGACCCTTATTGATCCCCCGGAATATGATTCAGACCAGGACACGTCTGACGATTCAGCCGGAGAGGAAGAAATAGTTATACCACCGCGAAGGAGTGCAAGGGTGAAACGACCAGCTCCTCACTGTCACTTATGTGATCATACGATCAGGGTGGAGTGTAATAGAAGTGACAATGACTTACCAGGAGCAAAGCGAATTCGCTGCCTCGCGTGTCGAACCATTCTCTGAGAGTTGGTCGCGCGTGCGTACGCCTACTGCCATTTTTATGCAGCAGACTTATTTGCATAAGAGAACAACGCTACCTATTAAAAAACAGGCGAGTGGACGTGGGTGAGCACGGCTCTTCTAGGCTTCGGCGAGACTAGACGTATTACTGACAGAAAGCGACAGCAATTTCTGGACATCTGACAGCTTCATTAGTGTTTGAGCCTTGAAAGTGTCAGCTTCTAGTTGTCTCCTTCAGTTGAGCTATTACGTACGCAGTTTCAACACACACACACACACACACACACAAAAAAAGTTAAAAAAAAACAACCCCAAACCCCCCAAAACAGGTACATAGATTTAGATGTTCAAGGTAGTGTAACTGTCATCAACACAAACACACACAAAAAAGTTACCCCCCCACAAACCCCCCAAAACAGGTACATAGATTTAGATGTTCAAGGTAGTGTAACTGTCATCAAAATGCAGTCTGTTTATAGCAACATCAATAATGTTGATTATGATTATGATGATTGTAAGCACTTCCAGTCCCACTAGGGAATGCTGGGAGCAAAATGGCTCGATCAGCAGTTTGAATAAAATAGTTGTTAAGTTTATTACGTTTCGTGACGTCTTTGTGTTGATTTAACTTTTCAGTGGCCAGTCACATATAAGTTCCACCCTAAAGCCCAGTTTATGTTCACTTTGAACTGAAGTTCTTGGTAAGAGCATGAATCTTCATCCTTGCACCTCAAATCCTCTACATATGAATCATATGTAGATGATCCATATGTAGAGGATTTCGGGTCTACAGGTCTGTGATGGAACGAGGTTGATGTCGAGGATCATTTAAAATCTTGAATCCAACCTTTTCAGGAATAAAAAGGAAATATATGTATGCATTTTTACATAGCGAATAATATGATTCACAAAAGAGAGAAAATATACTAGTGTGTATAGAGTAAAAAAACAAACAAACAAAAAAACAAAACAAAAAAAAAGAAACATACAGTTAGCGGCTGTGTGTGTTTGTGCCGTGAAAAGCGGCTTGCCCAGAGGACGACTGGACAACATGTACCGCATCCTATAAGTGAGAGACTAAAAGAGATCAAGAGAGCGTGTCCTTTACTTTTATATTGCCATGACAATGTTTAGTTCTATGTGGTCCGTACTTCAAGGCAGCACTAACCCATTGTATTCAAAGTTATAGGGCCAAATCCAATCCTTGATGCCTGAGTCCCCTAAAAGGGGCAGTGGCAATGAGATCTGAGCAATTTCTAGAGCTATAGAGTTGGCTATTGTGGCATGTGGAGGCTTTCTTATTTTGCTTGATTAGGTTGTTTTTCTTATGCACGTCGGTGGTCACCATAATGTGGGGGTTTCACTCACATCATAGCAGCAGAAATTAGCCTTATGTTCACAGAGATAAAAACATATTTGACAGGAAATAAAACGTACACAAAATAACAGGAAAAACATGATAAATTATATGTTAATTCCATGTAATTTATTTATATTTTTGTGTGTATTTTTTAGGTCACAATTGTTTTATGGTACATGTGATAAAAGGGAGAAATTACTCCGTGTTATTACACGCCACATCACAAGGAAAAGTCATACACGTGTTGCCCATACCAAGGTTCGTGGTGAAGAATGAATTTAACGTCTTTTGGCGGATTGTCCAATTTTTCGGTAGGAACAGTTTTTGTTACATACTGGGAGTATTTTTATTATTTTTCATTTTTATTTAATTTATTCTATACATAGTTTTTATGTTATTGTTTTATTTTATTTATAATTTTCATCATCATTATTATTTCATTTTTTATTATTTATAATATTAATAATATTTCTACAATATCGGTCTTTTCCATTTCTCACTTTCAGCGGTCTCTCCCTTCGAGACTTCTACCGAAGGGCTACACGCAACTCTTGCTGCAAAAAAACGAGGCCAGTCTTGGCTGCTTGACGTTAGATTTCTCGTTCCTCCCACAGGAACGGACCGAAAAAAATCTCCCTTTGAAGCACTCACCAAAGGAAACTACACTCAACTCACTGCATAACAGTTTTACACTTGGATTTTTCGTTCCTCCTGTCGGAACTAGCGGAGAAATCTCTCTCAACAAAGACAATTACTGCATTCAAGAATATTGTTAATTGGGAAAACTCCTTTTAACCCCGCAAATTACTATTTTACACTCCTTTTTGAACCAAATAAAATCTGTTTAACTGTTATTTTCAAGCTTTTGGGTTTTTCGTTCATTTCACACACACTGCCGAGTACAAACACACATGAGACCAGGAAAAATCCCAACATTTCGATCTTGTGTCACATTTCACCTTTTTTGGGAGATGGATAAAAATCGGTCCTGATTTTTCACAGAGAAGTAAATGAATGAATAAAGACATGAGCAAACCATATTCCCATAAAACCTTACTGTTCAGGAAATAGTAAAAGTAAAAAACTGTTACACTTGTAATCAACAATGGAAAAGGGGCGAACCGAATGTATTATAAAATAGGAAAATATATTTGGAAAAAATATAATATTTTTGTTATTATAAAAATTTATACATACAGTGTAACCCGGATATAAGAGACCCGGATATAAGAGAGATTTTCTCTGGTCCCAAATTAGAGCCTGTGTTAATGTATATAAAATAGACCAAACCCGGATATAAGAGAAACTCGGATATAAGAGACTTCTCTGGTCCCGACAACTCTCTTATATCCGGGTTACACTGTATTTGTAAAAATAATAGTTACAAAATACAAATATAATTTGTACATCATTATATGCTCGTAAATAGAATTTCAGAGTTGGAGACGTTAAAAGTGTACATTTGAAGTAGACCCGAAACCCAATCCTAAACAGAAAACAAGTTATAAAATTCTACTCCAACTCAAAAGACAGAGGAGGAGTGGAAACCGGGCGATAGACGAACCTATCTACTCCTATTGAAGTAAAAAAAATAAATAGTAAATAAAATTTCAGACTTTAAGCGGAGACGTTAGAGAAGTATAGAGTTGAAGTTGACAAGAAGGAACCCGAAACTTAATCCTAAACAGGAAACAAGGAATAAACTAAACATCTACTCCTGTTCCAGGGAGGAGTGTGAACTGGACGAAACGAGAATACCGAGAAAAAAAAGTAAGGAACTAGTAAAGAAAATTTCAGTTTTTTTTAACAAATTTTGTTTGAATGACAGTTATTATTATATTCCCTTTTTTTTTAATAAATAAATATCTGTAATTTTTGAATACATGTGTAACAGAAGAACTCTTTGTTGCGGAGGACATAGAGGTGCAAAAATACAAAACAAAACAAAAAAAAACAAACAAAGACGCATATCTTATATAAGAAGAAACAATTACAACATGTTTGGATTCCTTGCTGTACCGTTTCTCCCCCTTACCTTAGAAAAAAAAAAAAAAAAAAAAAAAAAAAAAAAAAGAGAGAGCATAGTAAGTATTAATTTAAGTCTTAGGTAGTCGTCGCAAACACACGACTTATTTTAAAGAGAAAAGAAAAATTAAAATTAAACATTCCTCATCAAGATTGAAAATATACTAAAAAAAGTCTTACATACTTTAAAAAAAAATCTCATTTTCTTTTTTGAACTCATATGACGTTATCGTAAGCGGCCTCTTACAAAATCGGCATGGAGGTCACAAGAAGAAGTAAGTATACTTCACTATTTCTTTTACTAATAACAACATTTTTTTAAAACCTTTTGAACATGTTAAAAATTACACAAATTATATTTCTAAAAAAATGTAACCGATGCGGGAATTTCGATGCCGGCTTAAATATTTTACGTTAGCCTTTTGTCTCTCCGAAGATGTCATCCACCATGTGTCTGAGTACATTCGGACTTTGGTAGTTAGTAGCGGTAAATATAAATCCTTTGTAGGCAGAGTAAATCTAAATTGTGAACTTCTCGTTTATTTGATTATGCGATATTTTATTTATTTTTTTAATGCTTACCATTGAAACGTTCTTTTATAAATAGTATTTTCCTTATTTATTTAAGTCTGGAGAAGAAAACAACATGGCAGAATTTTTTTTGTTTACTAAAGCGAATCAATACAAAGTCGCTGGTTTTCTTACTTTTTGTTTCTCGTATTTCTTCATTCTTCTCGCTCTTAATTTACGTTATTATAACTTTTACCAGCAGTTATTTCGATATCTGTTAAATATATTAATCACGCCATTAATAAATTTTAAGGGAAGAAACCATGTTTAAAATGTAAATTAAATAAATAAAAATAGCTTTTCTTCTGTACAAATTACGACTGTCACTAAGATTCTGTCTTACTTTTTAAACAGAATATACCGGAGATTTAATTTGAAACCAAACACTCATTGCCTTTTAACGACTTAAAGAGATTTAGGAAATGTTTCAGTGAATGGCTCTGTTAAAAATCCAGTTTTTAAGATAAAGAAAAATCATAAAGAAGAATCCTAATCTATGTGGTTTTAAAATTGTCGTTTTTGTCAAGTAAAAAAAAGTGAATGCTCTTATGTCCAAATGAGTGATGATAAACAATTAATGTTAAAATCCACAAGAGGTGCCGATTTAATAATAGCGTTATTAAATTTATTGCGGTTGCAAAAATGCTTCAATAAAAATAAAATCCTTTTTTATGAGTTTTACTTTTTTGTGTGTATTTTTTTTTTTTTATAAATGTGGCTACAATTTTACCATTTAAAATAAATTGATCATTTACTTAATGAATTAAAAAAGTTATTGCAAATTTTCTTCAAGAAAATTTATCACTCGGACTCGTGACAAAATAAAAAGTCAGCCATGCTTATTTGTTATGATAAATAAATATTCAATGCCGCAGATGACATTATGAAAAAAAAGTTTTATACAGTATTGAATATTTATGAATAACTAACTAAAACAATTTGTTATTTTCTATTGGGTTGATATTTACTTTTGTACGATCTTAATGATTCTTGATTTTATAAATATTTTTCTATTGGGCAATCCCCACACTAACTTTGGAGGCTTTTCTTTTGTCTAAAAGCAGAACAAAAGCTATTAGTTTTCTTTTAACATCCTTACCTTGTGTGTTTATAGGTTGGTACATTTTAAACGTTTTCTCACAACTAACTAAAACTACTAAAAAGTAGTTTTATCATTGAAGTCAGTGAAACTTTATTGGTCAAAGTTAATAAAAGATTTAAGTAACGTAATCGTGCCGTTTTATTACATATGAATTATTTTCCTTAAGATTTAAAATGAATATTGATAAATTAGTGTTTTTTAAAAATGGGTTTTGTTTTAAACTGTTTTTGATAAATCTTCAAGCGTTAGCGTGTGTCATTATTCTTCATCTTTTCAAAAACTGGGAATATAGACAAGTTTTAAGCAAGAATTATGAATTGTTCATAGATTTTAAGAGAATCAACATAATTTTTCTTATGGACTTCTAAGCCTTTATTTGTAATAGCCAATATATCCTTGGTTGTATGTCAGTTGAAAACTTATTTGGAAGATGCAGCTTTAAAATGGATTTAGAATGTTTACTATTTTTGTATAAATGCCATTTTTGATAGTTTGTGTTAGGTATTAAGTCGCTTTTTATTAATACAATTCATAATTATTATCAAATGGTAATTATCAGCAACTTTTTAAAGAATTATTGGAATGACTACTGCGGCTGATACAGAAATTGGACTAAAAATCATAGTTAAAATTCCTGTAAGGATAATTTCTCTTGGTGTATTCTTTTATTGATCTTTCATAAAGTAAATAGTTGACATTTCTAATGGCTACTACAAAGCCTATTATTCAAGAAGCATTTATATTTTTTGTGGTTATAAATGAATATTTTTCTTTTAAATTTCACATGAGCTTGCATTTTGTGATGCAAATGATTCAAAGAATATATATCTCATTAATAACAAATATGTTGTCTAACAAAAGAACCAATTCAGTATATTGAATTTTAGAATCTCTTTCCCTGTTGTTGGTTTGATTAAAATAACTCTTCTCTCAATTGCTTTTCCAATAGAAATGCTATCTAATTAAAGCCTGTTGGTAAGAGTTTGTTTAACTTGTCCTTTCTTGTAATAATCAACTCTAAGGAAGATAACAGTTTTTGATTTAGTGTAGGAGATTTTTTTGTTTTTCTCTCCTTTGAAATTTTTTTCTCTTTTAATAATTCAGATTTCCACGAATGCTTTGATGATGTTAAAGAATCCATCCAACAAGCTACCTTTTTTGCTATTGATGGAGAATTTACAGGTGAGTGCAAAGCTATATAAACTATGACTACAGTTTTTGCTTTTATTTTTCTCTGTGTCTGGAGGTGGGTAGATATTGAAAAATGATTTTGATTAATTTTCTTTACAATTTTTAAATTTTTTTTCCATAAAAATAACTTCTACCATTTTTTAAAAAATTACTTTGATAACATGCTTTTTATTAGTGTAGAGTATTGGTGTCATCAAGTGTATTTGTTTATTTTTCGTCTTCAATGTTTTTTGCTTTACTAGAGTTATCCCCCTTAGATTAGTAATTAGCAATGCATTTGTTATGGCAAAACTCCATGAAAGAGAGTATAACAACAATAATTGGAAATGTGAAAAAAATGTTTTTTTCACATGTGATTGGTAAAATTAGTCTAAAATAATTGCTTTGACAGAATATTAACTGATTATGGGTTTGTAACTGAATAATTGGTATGTCTATTCAGGTACTTTTCTTTTAGAATTCTCCTGTTTTATGCTTGTGACATGAAGGCTTTTAACTATTTTTTTTCTTATTCTGATACTTTTCTTGCTTCTTAAAAGTATACATTTGGCCTGATAATAATTTTTAATTCTTGATTCTTCTTTTATTGCATCATATTTGCAAACTTAGAACTTCAGTATTGAAGTTTTCTGCAAAATTAATATTCCTTTCTTAAAAAGAAATTAAGCTTACATCAAAATTCTCATTTGACTTAAAATTTGCAAATTCCAAGAAATAAAAACTGTTTATTTGCCCCATTGCAGAAAACAAATGGTAAACATGAATTTTCTGCAAGACACGTAAATTGATATAAAGAACTACTGAATTTCTAATAAAGCTGATTGTGTTAGCTTTATATTTGTTAGACTTACTATTGAAATTACAGGAGGTTTTTAATGCTGAAATAAGGAATCGCATTTTTCTTTACAGTAAAGATCATGTTTTTTTGTTTATCTAGAACTTGAACTAAGAATATCCTAATGGTGTTTGCAACAAGTTTAGAGGAAAACCAAATTAACATATTTGAGTAAATGATTTAGACTAAACTGTAAATCATAATTTTTTTTTTTTTTTTTTTTGCTGGGTTTTGAGGATATTGTGACCAATCATGAAATATTGTTGACAATAATTTGAACAACTGGGTATCTTGGATATAAACAAGAAATCAGTGAAAATGTTACATATTCATAATATTAGAACATTGCTTATAAAACTAGTTTCTAATGTTCAAATTTGTGATTGAATTTGCAATCAAATTCAATAAGTTATTTTCACAAAGGCATGTACATGAAGTATAGGTCACAATGAAGCTAGATTATCCTGTAAAGCATAAGTACAAATTACTTTCTGGCTCTGATTCCTTATTTTATTTTTCTTACCATTCATTGTACCTGCTCTTGTTTAGACTGTATCATTGTTGTAATTATGAACCTAAAACAATTCAATATGATATTAAATAGACCATCTATTTATAATAGAATAACATAAATTCCTGAACTGATTAAATTCATTAAATTTAGGTTTGGACCATCCAGATCATGGTCACCCTCAGCCTTTCGATACACCTGAAGAACGATACCAAAAATTAAGTAAGGTAAGTGTCTCTCATATTTCTTGATGTTTTCTAAATACTTGCATGTTTGATTACCAGATTCCCAGTAGGGAGATTTGTTCTAAAAGAAAAAAAAAAACTGCTTGATAAAATTTGTGCAACTTGCTGGATAAAGGAATGAAAAATCTAACACTTTATTCGTCTGATGGCTTGCATGGACCCATTAGATGGTTTCTATAGCATGACAAACTTTGTCCTCCAGGTTTGTGGTTATTCTCACCTGGCAGACGGATTATCTGCTTCATAAAATGTGGTGTGGTGTCTGTTGGGAACTTAACCTCCTGTCAGCCTTCTAATGCCAACATCCAACTGACCTGATGACCTCCATTTGAGGTAGGTGAATTTTCACAATCTAGGAAGAAAAGCCTGTCATGATATGAACAAAAATACCTCTGTCAATGTGTGTATAAAATAAGACCAGATAGTGGTTTGTGTTTTTTCTTATATTGAAATTGATTTTGCCTCGTATTTTCTATGAAAGTTTTGTTCAAGAATTCCTGTTCATATTCTCTTTAATCCTTCAGATGTTCTATCCAGGTAGGTGGCCAAAATAAAGGCACATGTAAAGTGGCTGCTATGAAATAAGGATTTACAAGTTTATATAGTATATACAAATGCACTAGTTTATCAATTTCATCCTCTCTTATGGCCTTGTGCCAAATGTAGCTATGCTTAGTAAATCTGTATAAATATATATATGTATTTATTTAAAATAATAAAACAAGATTTATACATACATACATACATACATACATCTTGTTTTTATTATTTTGTGGAAATGAGGACATGGCCTAATGTGAAGAAATTGGAATTGACAAGCAGTTCAAATTCTGGTTGATATAATTGGCATTCATTTACACACTAATACCCTTGGGAAAGGTGTGAATTCACCTCTCATGAGGAGTCATGTTCAGTGATACTCCATACTACTGGTACCATCTAGCTTGTCATGTTATTTATGAACTACCAATCCCCATTTGCTTTGAAAGGTGCTTTGGTAGACCCAACACTTGATATCGTGACAATCTAAAATGTCATCGGATAATTTTTGTATGTGTGGCTTGTAAAAAAAATTAATTTACTCTAGATGGTATCAATTTAGCAATGAATCTTGGTTCTATTTGTCATTGTTGATATTAAATCATAGACTTATTTGAACTAATAATTTTCCTTTTTATTTTTATATGTAGCTTGATTATACTTCATAATGCAAATCTGTTTAATAAAACTTGCTTTGCTATTTCTTGTAGTCATTTCATTCAGGGATATTGAATTCATTATGATTATATTAATTTCAGAAAATATTGACAAAACTGTATTATACAGATTTGCTGATAGACACTTTTGATGGTCAAAATGTTGTTCATTTTGTCTTGGTTATAATTTGCTGTTCCATTTTCTGCACACTAATTTCCATTTCAAGAAAGAAAATTTTATGTTAACAATTTGTTGGCAGAATATTGATATTGAAGGATTTGTTTTCACTTTGGTTTTTATTTTAATCTTTTGCAGGGTTCTGTGGAGTTTCTGCTCTTTCAGTTTGGTCTCTGCACATTCAAGCACAATCCAGAAACCGGAAAGTTAGTTATAATTTTTTTTTTTCTATAATTTCTTATTTAATTTTTTGGAAAACTTACTAATTAAGTAAAAGAAAAAATTGATAGTTGATTAAATCGAAATATGGTCTTAATATTTTCCTGTTCCTTTATCATATTAAGAAATTACTAGACATGTAAAATTATCAAATCATATTTGTTACTTAAATGTTGATTACTTGGGTGTTTTATACTTACTTTCACTTTTAAAGTCTTAAAATTATCTGATAGTTGTTTGTTTTTACTTTTTATTTATTTATTATTTTTTCTTTTATTTTTTTTTCAAACATGTTGAAATCCCTTTGCCTAAGGGCAGCTATGCACATAGCTCGATTCTTATTTGTAAATATTTTTCTCGAGTGTAAAAATTTACATATCTTTCATGCTAAAATTTCTTTTGAATAATGATTGGCAAAAATACTTTGAATTCACTATATTTTGAATTTTATCTATTGTAAGTATTATAAAATTCTTGAGCAAAATTTCAAATCTCTTGGTGTATAACAAATTGAAAATAGAGTAGGCTGTGTTAGGGATAGTTTTATCTGACAGCAAATTGCTACAAAACCAACACATTAACTTAGGAACTTGATTCAGGTTGTTAAGTAGCCCTATCAAATCATATAGATGTCATGCATCACATTCAACTCCTTCAACTGTATACAAATGCTTTCTTAGAGCAATGATTAAAAATGACCTCCAGAAAATGAACTCTGTATGTCTTAGAGAGGACCATCTTTCTTCGAATCTCATAGACTGGCACTACATAATCATAAAGAACTTTTATAAATAACAAAAACCACATCACTTGAAGACTTGCAACAGCAGCAACAACTAAAGTGGATAGTACATGTAACTTGAAGAGAAAATAATGACATGATCAAGATGTTAATTTTTTCACACTGTTTCAAACAAAAGGTTAGCAAGGATCCCCCCTCCACCTCCCTGGATACATGAAAGAGCAATAGCAATTAAGAGAGCTTAAATCTATTTTATGGAAAAAATTCTTTTAATAGAAAGATTTTAGAAAATGTTACCAGTGGTAGCACTGGCTGTTCAGACAATGAATGCTGAATATTTCTGTATAAGGAAATGGCTAATATTACTATTATCATTAAATTGTAAAATAACATAACAATAAGATTAATAGATATATTATAATGCATCGATATAAAATGATAAAAGCAAAATAAAAATGCTAGCAAAAATTTATGTAAAATTATATAATTTAATTTATAACAAATTTAACAGTTTTTGCTAATAAAATACTCACTATATAACTAGTGCTATTATTATTATTATTATTATTATTATAAGTAAAAATGTTCAATACTTATCAAGGGTTGACCTAGTTTCATAAGTTTTCAATCACTCCTTGAGACTTGACAAAGAAAAATAATGAAACCCTGAGTGGACCTCCAATAAGTATTGATTACTTTTACTTCTATTTTAATAATATGCGAAAAATTATAAATACTTTTTTTCTTCTTTAAAACCCTTCTGCTTTACAAATTCTTTTAATTCTTCTGGTGATAAAATTTGTGTAATATTCAGGAAGTATTCAACGTAATAATCGATTTTTTTTTATTTATAAATGCAATTACCAAATTACTCAATGTTGTGGTTTCTTTAATGTTATGGATAATTTAATTATGTATAAATCTTAATTATCATAGATAAATAATTCAATTAATGTTAGAATTTCTTTTAAAATTGATATTTTTCAATTCTTATTTGTGTTTCTGACTTGTGCATATTTAGTACCAATTGTTATTTGTTTGTCTCTTTTCAGATTTGAAGCTCGCCCATTTAACTTCTACATTTTTCCTAAACCATTTAGTAAAGAGTCACCAGATCATAGATTTCTCTGTCAGGTCAGTCTTTTCTATCATTAAAGTTAACCATTGGGCTTGTGTTGATCTGGGTAAGAAATTAGACTGATAATTGGTGATGGATTTGTTAGTTCTCATTGAAGTTTCAAGGACCAACTAGAAAGACATTCTTAATGTAGTCCACTGAAAAATAATAACTAATTTTTTTTCTTATACTATCTCTCTCTTTAGGATGTAGTAATTGTCTCTTTACACATTTATTTAGTTTCTTTATCTGTAAATTGCCATGGCTTCTTGGGAAAGAATTTTCTGTTGCTTTCTCTACAGTTTTGTATTTGAAGTAGTCCTTTTGTCATTTAAGTCTACAGAACCCAGTCTACCCTACTATTTAACCCATAGCTGATAGAAAAGGTGGATTCATGTCTTTCCCAAGAGCATTTATGCAAAAGTAAAATAACTTTTTGCATGATTGGCACTGCTTAAATTGACAGGGGTCCGCTCGTGAAAAAAATAGGGAAAATTTAGTGGTGAGGGAATAATTTTTGTAGATTAGTATTCACTAGACCTTCATCAAAACATGGCATTTGTCAGAATAAAAAAAGAACATTTTTTTTTTTTAATCATCTTAGAAGCAGGATCTTGTTCATTATATAAATACAGTGTTAAATTGATACCTGATTTAGTTATTTTCATTTTGATTTTAGTTTTAAATGTTAAGTGAGAAACAGCTTATGTCATTCATAACTGTTTACTATTATTAATTGAGAATAAGATATTAGTATTCAATTATCAATGACTTAAACAGTTTCATGCTTGACATTTGTAAATAAAACAAAGTAATACTTTAAGAAGTCAATTTGATACTGTAGTTATATTATAAACAGGTCCCCATGCAGATTAATTCATTCATGTTTGTTAGTAAACTAGTAAAGTTGTGCTCATCATTTAATTTTTATGAAACATCATTTTATCAACGATATAAATTAATACTTTAAATGAAAAGTCATAATTGTTTGGTTTCTTTTTGTTTCAGTCATCCAGCATTGATTTCCTGGCTTCTCAAGGTTTTGACTTCAACAAAGTGTTCAGAGAAGGTTTGTCTCTCACTTTTGTTTGTTTCCAAAGTACATGATCTTTATTCTTTTGTAAAAACCAGTTGTTAAAGTCATTCAGTGTTTTCACTTAAGTTCTATTTGTAATTTTCATAATATTTTGTTTTTTTATTTTTTTTTTTTTATATCTATTGACTCTTATTGAAAAAACTGAGTTGTTAATGTTTTCGATGTCAGAATTTTAAAATTTTAAAATTTTATTTTGGTTAACAACATTTTAATACCGTCAGTAGTAATGCAGCTGATCTATTGAAACTTTTTTATTCAGATTTTAGTACTTTATATTAAGTTTCTTCCTTGAAAAGGAATGGAATCAAATTGATTTTTTAATTAGAAATCAATTTAATCACTTTATCCACAATAAGAAGATCAGTGTACAGAAGGAAAAATAAACGTGAAAGTCTGCAATTGAAAATGTTTTTTAACCTAATTTATTAGAATCCACTTTTTTTTTTTTTTTTCTTCATGCTTGCTCAAATTTGGTCTAGACATAAATTGTTCCAGTCATATTTCAGAATATATAACACATTTTTAGTGTTTTGAAATACAATTGTTTCAATCATTTACTGGCTGTACTGTTCTACTACTGTGTACAATAGATTAATATATTTAGCAAGATTATGCTTTGTTCTAAGAAAAGTTTATTGTATAAATTTGTCACATTTTTATTTCTTTGCTCAGGTATCCCTTACTTAACTCCTCATGAAGAACAAACCTTACGAGACAGTCTTGAACAGAAGCATCAACAAAATAGCCAATTTGCCTCTTCTGCCTACTTCAGTCCTTTGGAGAACAAAGATATTGCCATACCCGAAGAACAGAAAGACTTTGTTGATAGAGTTTGGTAAATAACTTAATTTTGCAATGCTTTCCCTCTAGCCAAATGTTAATACATTGTTGTCTTATAAGTGAGGCAGAAAACTGTTTTGTTAAATATTTTCCTATTCCTTTGTTATGTTATGAATATTTGCAAAGCAACATGTCAGACACTTTATTTAGCTGAACTACTTAGCTCATCATTTTTTATTATTTTCATTAATCAAACATTGATATTTGTTGCTACTTACATTTCCACAATTTGTAAAAATTTTTTTTTTTTTTTTTTTGTTTAAATGATGTTTTAGTTGAAATTTAGTCATATTTTGAAAGTAGCAGCAACAGCTATACTTTTTACTTTTGACTAAAATGGATTTTGATTATTGCGGGGTAGAGTCAAAATATGTCCCTAGAACTGTCTGTACTTAATTGACCCTAAATATTTTAGGTACATGTAACGGTTATAACTGTCTTTCAAAATGAAATGTGCAGCTTTTCTTAATTCCATGACAACTTTTTGTATTGCATGCTTTTAAAGTTTTTTCTTTTTCTTCAGTCAAATGGTTACAGACTTCCAAGAAAATGAAGAGGTTTCAGTGTTAGACTTACCACCTTGTAATGGCTTTCAGCGCAAATTGTTATATCAGACCATCAGAAATAAGTAAGTTTATATTTAGTGAATTCAAAACATCCTAGTGTTTTTCTTTTTCTTTTTTTTTTAAAAAAAAGTGGGGGGGATTATTCTGCATGTGTTTTCAATTTCTCTTAAGAGGTTGGCCTAGATTTTTTGGTACATACCATAAAAAAAAAACACACACACTATCACACACACACACACACACACATATATATATATATATATAGAATAAATTTAGTCTTTAGTATTCAAAGATATTTTGTGTAATTTTGGTAAATATATGTTAAAATTAGATACCATTGCTATTTTCATTTTTGTGTAACAGATGACAATTTATTCATCGCGCTGTGTGTCATATATATAAAGCATCACTGATTTGTGTGTGTATATATATATATATATATATATATATATATATATATATATATATATATTAATATATATATAATTATTTATTTAAATATGATTCCATTGCGACATAAGAGTTCTCATGTTTCAAAACAAGAGCTGAAAACTTCAATATAATTATTTGAATTAAAGTACCAAGCTCTGTTCCATCTTCAAGCAAAATTTTTTTGGAATAACTAATTCTTGAAATTTATGCGTTTTTATAAGCATATTCATTATTAAAATTACTATGGTAACGGCTAGAGCAATTATTTGAAAAAAAGGGTGTAAGGTTTAATAAGAGGTCAAGTCAGGGTAAGGTTGGGTTGTCTAAATTTAAAGCAGATGATGACATCGCCTAGTCTGGTTAAGTGTCTATGGAGATTTATTTATTTTTTTATTTCATTTTCTTTCTTGAAAGGGTTTTGTGTATATAAAAAAAACTGTCATAATGAGCTAACATTTGTTTGTTTTTTTTTTTTTTTGAAGACTTCATAAAGGTTTTTTTTTTTTATTATTATTATTGGGTAGGGCTTTTAAACTTTTTATTTATACTATGGAGTTTAAAATTTGTATTTATTATTTAATTGTTTGTTTGTTTTCTATGCTAATTATTCAATGTGAAAATTTGATTATATTTAGGCTCTACTTTTGTATCGAGCACTGTTTTTTAAAGATAACAAAAATACTAAAGAACTTTTTATTATTTACCTAACGAGTTCTTTCCTATTTTCTATATATTTTCACACACATATATATATATATATATATATACATACACACAAATCAGTGATGCTTTTATTCTATTTTTTATTTATTTATTTTTTTTTTTTTTTTTAAACATCTCTTGCCGCATGTAAACCAGTGTCATATGGTGGTAAAGCAACAAGTAAATTCAGTAACATGTAAACATAAACAAGTTCAAGGTTCAGTGAGATTCCTTTGGAATTATATCACCAGACTCGTACATACAGTGAGGTGCAGAATTATCTATATAGTACAATTTCATTTAAAATAATTCACTTTATATGTATAGAGACAATTCGTCCTCTGTTGGACTTTATCAAGGCAAATGTAAGGATTTTATTTTGCAACAAAAGCTTTGATAAAGACGGCTAGTCATTTTTAAAATCTTAATTACGAAAGTAACACTATGAACACAAGAGCAGCAAAATTATCTCTACACTTCAACTCATCGTCGGTGGCATTGCCTTTCTGACCAATAAACAGGGCTTTTTCAAATTCTGTAGTGTCTCTGCTCCTACACCTCAAAATGGAGTGTGCACTCCTCCACAACCCTTTCAGAAAAAGGAGCACACCCCTTTTCCCATTCCATCAATATGGTGTATTATTACATCAATAAATTCTCAACTGTATTTTCACCTAATCCACGCAGTTCACCATTTAATCACAAGCTTCTGCTTTCAAATTTATTTCTTTATTCTTGTGTGCTGATGAAAAGTGAGTAGAAAATTTTTAGAAATTTAGATAAACAATATTTTCATCCATACAAAAAAGAAATTGTTTTCATGTTATTGTGTACTTTTTTTTTTTTTTTTTTTTTTTTTTTTTTTGAATAGTTAATGAAAAACGTTTTCCATTTGTAATCTTTTTTTTTTTTTTTTTTTTTTTAAACTGTAAGTTGTATGTCATGTATGTAAAATGTTTGTAACAAGATGCAAAAGTGGAATATTGGGTGTGGGTAGGGTACAAACATCATTGGCACTTGTTAACAGAAAACTGTTTAAGTCTATATTTCTTTCTACCCCCACATAAAAACATTTTGGACGCTTTGACGCTTTTTTTTTTTTTTTTTTTTTTTTTAAGTATGTATTCCTGCAGGGACAAAAATTGCTACTATGACTTCCAAATTTTGTGCAAATTAATCTTACATGAAGAGTACTTTTGATGTAGAAAATATTGTCCAAAATCTGAAAATCTTATATTATTTTTTTGGGAGCACCAGTTTTCAAACTCTGCAGGAGTCAGCTGGATTGGGATTTTAAACTGGTAATTCAAATGGATTTGATTTGGATTTGAAATCAATTTTTAGGGATGAAATTTGATTGCATTTCTAATTGAAACTAATCCCTTTGTAAAAAGTAGGGAACACATTTTTTTCATGACTAATTTTGTTGCTTAAAAATAAATGTTTTGCTAAAACATTTAGATTTGAAAGAGAAAAAATAATTCATAATGGTAAATGGGAGAAAAAGCAAGAGTCATAAATAAAACAAGAGAAAGGTACCATTTGAAAACAGATATCATTTTTAGACTATTTTGGAGATCCAGTTAAAATGATAAAATATCAATTTTCAATTTTGACAAATTTGCTAATTCTAAAAAGGTCCAAGGAAGTTAAATATTACTCATGAAAAAAAAAAATTCCTTAATGAGAGTATCAGTTTTGTTCAGAAGTGCCAATTAATTACCAAATAATATCTGAAAATTGAATTCAGAGATTCTTTCTTTGCAAACTTAAATGGATTTTAGACTTAGATCCTCTTTCCAGGATGAGTTGCAACAATTTTTGTGGTACGGGAAATGGCTTAGCTGCTGCTCCAAACCTTCTTCCTGATTTGCAAACATTCACAATTTATTTTTTTAAATAAACACAACCTTTCACCTTTGCCATGTTGTTGATGATTGGCTTGAAGTGAACAATATCTTTATTGCAGTAAATTGAAGTTCTGTTTAAAAACCTACAAATTACAGATACGTCAACATAATGCACACACACACACACACACACACATATAAATAAAATGGCATATGTATTTCTTCCCATCCTCATTGTTGAGAGACAAGGACAATTACAGTTTTAATTCAGTTGTCCCTTTTCTTGACTGATTGCCAACCATGGCTAGAGTGCTAAGTTTGCTGTTATTTAACCCATAGCTGAGGGGAGAAGAGATGGATTCATACCTTTCCCAAATGTAAAAACGCATAAGTGATTGTAATAAACTCAAATTAGAACTCTGCTCTCTTATTTTGAGCTTCCTTCAATTGCACCTTGTTCTTGTCTATGATTCTCAAGTGGTGGGGGATTTCATATTAGGGGGTCTGGAATTCTCTTCTGTCCACTACTTGGAAGATGACTACTGAGCCACATCTCATGTGCCTTCATGACAAGGATGAAGTCCTTGGTCATTATATATGTGAATTTCATAAATTAAATTTTTTATCTGTCTATATGTATGAGATGAGTTATTATGATTACTTGCATTATTTGCATTACTCTGACTGTTATCCTCATCTTCATTGCCATATTCACAGCATTTCAGCCTTCTTCAGGTGATTGGAATTTTGAACTGAACCCTTTTTGTCCACCAGGGTAGATTGTTCTACTTCCATGTGCCATGCTTCTTCTGGATGTCTGTTATTTCCCTTTAATTCAATTCTCCAAGTTTTGGTTTACCACTGCTGTAGCCTGGTATTGAACTTAATGGCCAAAACATTGTGAATATGGCAATGAAGATGAGGATAAAAGTCTGAGTAATGTAAATAATGCAAGTAACTAATTTTCAGGTATACAGATAATTTTGCCCATGCAAATTTTTTTAATGTGTTGATAATGCTAGTGAATAAAGAATAAAGTTTCCAAAATAGATTGAGTATTTATTTGATACTCAAGATCGTTCTGTTTTTTACTTATATAAAAAGGTTCAATATTTAAAAGTTAATTATCTGAAATGAAATTTGTACAGTATAAATAACTTTGTACTTCACTCTGCATGTGAAAACAAGTTATATTAAATACAACTGACAAGGTCTGTTTAAATTTTTATTGTATTTTTTTCCAATAATTTCTTGCTCAACTAGAGGTGGAAATTATAGATGAACTGGCTGAAACTCACTTTTTTTGTTTTTGTTAAAAGTACTTTCAACTGTATTTTCAGTAGACTTGCAGATTTTCCTTTTGGGTTTTCTTGTACAGTGAAATAGTAAAATTGTAATTATTTGTGTCTACTACTAAAATGTCAAGAAAAGAGTGATCATTGCCAATAATCCAGAACCACAAAAATCCTCACCCCTCTAGTAAAAAGGATGTTGTCTGAATTCTTGAGTCCTTTGTAAGATTTTATCTCCAATAGCAATTGTTGCAGGTATTATCCTTTTCTTAGCTAGTGCTTTTAAAGGTAAATTCCTAAACAACATTGAAACAAAGACATGTCCAGGTGGCATGAGAATAACAAGTGATGCTCCCATTAATCCTAGTCGTAAAAAGCAGATTTGAAGAGAAAGGCAAACTATGCAAAACAGGATACAACCAGTAAATAAGACTGAACCATTTTGTGTGACATACATAGAAAACAATTTATGACAAATAAGGAAGAAATCTACATGGGTAGTTGGTATATAAAATGTCTATTCCAGAAATCTACAATTGTGAGTATTTTTTAGGACTATAAAATGTGTGGTGGTTGTGAGAGCTTCATTTTTTTGGGATATTAATGTGTGTCTATCATACTACAACAAACCAACAAGAAAATATCCAGGGGAAGAGGGTGGGGGGAAAGAGAAAGGAGTTACTGCTCCTTTCTATACACTCCTGTGAGCGATAATGATTGGCTCTACAGGAGCCTACGTAATGTCTGTTTTTGAGCATGGAGATAAGTGAGACTTGCTAATTTTAATTTCCAGGAAACTCCACAATAATTACAAAGCAGCATTTAAATTCTTACATTGGTCATGCATGCATGCATGCACTCACTCTCTCATCGTAAGACTTGTCATTTGTTGAAACACTTAGTGCACTTTATGCTTATATTGATCATTACAAACAAGCAAAATACAACAATTAATATAAGGCAAATATTAATAGAGAATACTAAAATATTAATTCTAAATGCTCAAAACTATTATTAAACAACAACAACAAAAAAAAACTAATTTTTTCACTACAGGAGACAGTATATTAAAATGTGTATGAAATATTTAAAATTTATATAAAATAATTGAAACCTAAAATATTCATGTTCTTGTTTCCAGAGTTGTCAAGCAAGGTGAAATGGGGAAAAATGCAATAAAAAAAAATCAAAGCATGGATCTTGTCAGTTGAACTTAATACAACTTAGTTAAAAGAATTCTTTCTGCCTAAATGTGCATGTTTCTATAAGAAACTGACAATGGTACCAGAATTCTGGTCATTAAAATAATGGTTCTTCAGAAAAAGTTTTGATCAAAGAATAGAAAATATTTTTTTAAACATTTGTATAGTTATTTTAAAATTAGTATGCATTTGAGAATTAAAACTAGAATAAAAATTAATGGAGTGGAATCTTCATGTGTGCAAAAAAAAAAAAAAAATGTTTGGGTATTTGCATTTTTCATGATACATAAATCTCATATGAATTTGTGACTAATTTATCTTTATAGGTTTTCATCAAATATTCATTTAGAAACCAAAACTGGGGAGAAGAAAGAACGCTTCATTGTCGTAACAAAAATCTCTGGAGATGATGATCTGAAAAAGAAGGAATTGGAAAGACATACCTCAGAAATGGTAACTTTCAGGAACAATCATTTTGTTTTCAAGTTTATTTTCTAGCCAGCTGTTTTATAGCATCTGCTTTTTTGGGGTGGTGGTATATCTATTTGACTAATGAATATAATCTTGAGTAAAACATTGGTAGTCACCATGTCACTCTTTTTAAAATGTTAATCCTTTTCTCTCTTTCAAAATTTGAAAACTTAACAGATTAACTCTTACTACATTTTGGTCTTTCCATTGTTTTGTTATCCACCCCCAGCCTTCTTTTGATGAAAAAGGTTGCATTCTGAAATCTGCAAATTCCTTTTAATCTCTTGGAGCTGTTGTGTTGATTTTTGTGTGTTGTCATGGTTTTTGGATGTTGAGAATTGACCTACTAAAATGAATTTAAAAAAAAAAAAATAGGCTAGAAGGAATTGTAGCTTCTCATTCCAGGTGTTGTCAAAGTATAACAATATTTTGTGGATCAATATTTTCTTTTATTTCTCAAACTATAAGCTTTTTGCAAAATGGCATGTGTTCAGGAATCCTGAAGAAGTTTGGTTTTACATTGGTGAAACAAAATGAAGATCTGCTCTTATTAAGTTCAACAATTTCAAATATAGTGTAAATAATTTCAACTAGGTTTTGATTCTATTCTTATAAAAGTTCAATTTGCACTGATATTTGAGAGGTTAGACAAAATGCATGCTTGGAAAACTAGAATTTATTTCGCTGGTATAAATGTTGACACCAGTAGTCATTCATTACTCATTCACAGTATGCATTCTCTACTTTCTAGTAAAAAAAAAAAAATATTGAGTTTTGTTTCTTTCATTCCTAACTTATCAGTTTTCCTCCTGAACAATTTTTTTTTTTTTTTTTTTTTTTCTCCTCCTTTAGTGGAGACAAGCAACAATATTTTGTTAACCTAGCTTGACTGCAGAGAAACATGATAGTCATAGGTAAAATTGAATCTTATTGGATTCTGCTTGTAAACCGAGTTAATTTCATACTCAAATCTCCAGTTCCAAAATTTCACATTTTACATTATTTCATTTTATCATTAGTTTCGATGTGCCACATTGTGGATTTTGAGTATTACTATAACCAAACTATTACTGAAAGATATGAAATGTTAGCAGTTCAATTTCAAGTTCTCTAGAATCATTTTTTTTGAATAGTGATAAAATTTACATAATTGAAAAGTGTTTTTAACTTTCTTACATTATCAGAAGAGGAAAATAATTTAAGGTTTGGTTGTATGGTTTGGGGTTCTTTTTATAAAAATAAATTTGTTTACCATGACAACTTCTCCATCCCACCTAATTTGAAAAAATACTTCATTTTATTTTTTCTTTAGTATATAGTGATACAAATTTTGTTAAATCTTTGTTCCTGACACTTACATTTCAGAAAAGTCCTTGTTTCTAGTTTTTGTATTGTACAAAAGAGTTCAGAATTTTTTCTTTCCAGTAGCATCATCTACAAATTATTTAAAAAAAGAAAAGTACTGATTAATTTATATGAAATAATAGAAATGATAATATAAACATTAAGACATTACAGTAATTGTTTAGCTGTAGAGAATATCAATGGATATTAAATGATGGTTTAAAATATTCTCAATGTACAGGTATATTCATTTGATTGGATGAAATAAATCAAAATATTTCAACAACCTATTTGTAGTACTCCCACTTTGTGTCTGTATTCTTTTTAACAAATATAAGAAAATGATTTAAACCGTAATATCCATCAATGCAACAAGTCTGATTTAAAATGGGGTTTAGCTGACAATGTTCGCTCCCTTGGTCAACCATGCAAATTTCAGTGTGTTGGACCCAGCACAAAATGGTCGCATTATAACCTCTTGGATTCTTGTGCACCTCTACTTGTATTGATGTAGACATATGAAACCAACTAATTATTAAAAATGAGACATTATTGTCTACAAGAACGGGCAATATTTGTTAGGTTTTTTTTTTTTTTTTTTTAACCAACTGTTGAATTTCTATTGTATTTTATTCACGGAAGTTTTTAACTTAGAAATTTTTTGTGAAAAACAACTTTAAACCCTATCAAATTAACAAGCATCCTTTTTTTTTTCTTTAAGATTGGACTATTTTGATAAGTGTAAGAAGTTTTAGAGACACTACTATTAAATAGTCAAAGATGTAGAATAAATACTAATCATCATACATGCAAAAGGATTTTCTTTTATAAAGAGAAATTAAATTTTGATTAAATGCTAATTTTATCAAAAATAACTTAGAAAATAAACAAAATATCAGCAGTTGAAATTGAAGGATATATCACTATTTTGACATGTTTTTGCAGTGTATAAACTGTGGCAGTTTTGGATACCTAATAGTATGTATTTATACAGTTTAAATAAGTTATTGTTGCTGTAGGATTTGAAATAGTAATTTATTTGACCCTTCTAAAGATATAAGTGTCTATGACATGTTGGAAATAAATTTTTGATAATAAATGGACTAATGTTAAACTCTAAGTAAAGGTAATTGTTTTGATTTATATAGGTTTTTTTTTTTTCTTTCCTGATCTTAAATTTAGACAATATTTGGATGTGATATAATGCACATTTTGTGACTATAGATATTTGATGATTTAGAATGGCTTTTTGGTAAATTTTATTAAAAGAAAAAAAAAACTCTTGCTAAAATTGTTCTTAAAGATTAGTTAACACAACCAATATCTTGAAAATTGCCACACATGACCCTCAAAAAATTTCTAAAACTGACCCCTAATTTTTATTAAACATGTATTTTATCAGAATTGATTAACTTTTACTAATTTGTCTGTATAAAAGAAGTCTGATCAGATCAATAAAGTCAAATTGGCAGCTGATCGAAAAAATGACCTACAATCTGTTGTTAAATGAGGCAAGGAGTGGCTTGTTAATTTTAACACCTCCCAAACGAAACTTGCTCTCTTGTAAGAGAACCCTTTTTGCCTTCCAGCAGCATGGCTGAGGCTTACCTCCAGGAGTGTCACATATTGAGCCTTCTCAGACTAACATTTTCTGCTGACATGCAAGAGAAAGAATATATTTAATTGCTCAGTATGCCGTTAGGAAAGTTGATTCATTGCTAGACAATTTTTCTCGCTAGAATCTTGCATATTTATGTGTACCATTTGTTCTTGTTTTGAATATTGCTGCCACTCTGGTCTGGTGCTCTTGCAATATATTTAGAGATTTTTGATAAAATCAAAGAATCTGCAATGTTATTGGCCCTGACATGGCATCTTGGCTTCAGTCAATTTTCCACTGTCAGTGTAGCTTCCCTGTGCCTTTTCTTTAAATACTTTCATGGTAATTGTTCTGATGAACTTTCCTTAATGATACCTAGACTTTATGAATTTAAGTATAGTATTAGACTGGAGGCAAAATCTCATTATTTTACAATTGAAATGATTAGATCTAACTAAGAATTCTATGCTTACAGTTCCTTCTATTATCCTTCTCGGTTGTGGAACTCTTACTTCCCAGTCAACTTTGATCTTCAAAAATTTAAATGCATTCTCTCTCCTTAATTGTATTTTTTCTCAGATTCTCTAACACTCGGTATCTCCTTGTATTTTTGTGCCTGGGGTGAAATGATTAAAATAGTTGAGTACTATTTTGAAATGACTAAAATTCTAAATAGTTTATAGAATATAAAGTCTCTGGATGTTAATGCTTTACCCAAAAGAGGCATTTTATGGCTGTTAATAAGTAATGAATTTTTGGCAGTGGAGGATTGAATTACTGAATTTTCATTTTCATATTTTTTCTTTTTCCAGAAAGATTTGAATAATGCTGTTGGTTTCTCCAGAGTTATCAGGTTGCTTGCTCAGTCAGTAAGTTAAAATTTTACATTTCTCTTGTACACTCTCAATTGTTGAGGATTGGAACTTAAAAAAAAAAACCTCCAACGTTCAATTGCCACCCTTAAATAAGGTGAGGTTGATAGATGTTTAATATACAGGGCTTCTCTTTTATTGTGAGGTTTCCGGTAATGTGATTTATATAGTTTTTTTTTTTTTTTTTTTTAACCATAATTTTTCTTAAGGGTTCTTGTAAATTGTGGATATATATATATATATATATATATATATATATATATATATATATATACACACTCTGGTCAGCTTTTTGTCTGCTTTGATAGAAATAGTGTTCTTGAAAGATTGTCTGAAAAACTGAATTCACACTATTCAATTGTTCACCATTATTGGCATGAACTTTGAGAGATGCTTAAGCTTGGAAAATGAACAGAAGTGTTTGATAATATTGCATTGATGTTATCCACCTTTTGACCATTCTTTGTGATGATAATGTCAGGGATTTTTTGTCAACAGTTAAAATGTTGGATCAAAATGCATGATCTTGTACAGCAAAAAATCACACCTGAAAACCTTAGCTGGGAAAAAATTCCAGACCCTCTTTATTCTCCAGATTTTGCTTCATCTGATTTACCATCTATTTTAGAATTTATAGAATCATCTTAATGGATGAGTTCTTAAAAACACATAACATAGTGGAAACTAATTTCTCTATTTTCTTTTCTTTCAAACAGACTTTTCTCAAAATAATATTTTGAAACTTGGCAATTATTGTATTCTTGCTTTTGTATCTATGCAGTGTTGTCAGTTTGTGTTGTTGTGGTTTGTTCAAGTAATTGGGAAAGTGAATTGAAAACTCACACACACACCTGCAGCCGTTAAATTCTTGGTTTCTTTATAACATTTATATTGCTGGCAAATCCAAGTTTCAACTCTGTCACTCATAAAATAGGAACTGCATTTAAGTTTTAAGAGGTGCAAAAAGGTTCTTGGCCTGACTTCTTGAATAACCAAACATTTATTTTTCTAGAAGAGCTTATTGACTTGGTCAGGCTGAGAACCTATCAACATTCAATTCTTTGTAATTTAATTATTTTATTTTAGACAGTGTTTTATTTTCAGGGGAAATTGCTCATTGGTCATAATATGCTTTTGGATCTAATTCATATCTTGCATCAGTTCCATGCTCCATTGCCTACAGTAAGTTTGTTGCTTCTTTTACCCTTTAGCATGAAGATAAATCTGATATAAAGTAATTTATTACCCACTTCTTTGCATAAACTCTCTTGGATTACTTACAGCATATTAGCAGTCCTTGATGTAACAAGAAATCTTTAAAAATAAATTGAAATTACTTAAAAAGAAATGTTGCTTTATGTAAACATTGGCATGCAGTAAAAATGATCGTAATTCTATAATTGAGATAATTTGATAATATAAATTTGCTTTTTTTCATTATTTGTAAATTTTTGACTGACTTGTGATATAGTCCAAATCTCCTTATATTTTATGCACATCCTAGATTGATCTTAATGAAAAGTGTTCATTTTATTGGCTTGGTAGGTTTTTATTGGGCTTTGATTACAAGCAAAACAGTTTGATTACAATTAATGGCTGAAATATAAACAACAGTTGTATAATTATTGTATAATTATTTTAACAAGTCATAATGATTAATGACCTTAAGTCGAGGACAAGTTCAGGCATTTCAATCACTAGTTGTATCCATCCTGTTATACAGTTGTGAAACTTGGGTTCTGTGATAGAAGAGGAGTCATTTGAAACCATGCACTTGAGAAAAATGTTCCCTATTTTGTATAAGGAATACAAGATGAACAAATACATGAGAAGCCTCATCAAGATGTTTGCGGGTCCTTGTCACACCACTTCTATCAAAAACTGGAAACTCGTTGGTTCAGAGATGTCAGCAACAATGGCACTCATTATGCAAAGTACAGGCAATGGTGGATGGAGTTGTCATCGTCTTCTAACATCAACAACTGGACGGATATCTTGGCTATATTTTCTCTTGATGGCTGACAAGAGAATGTCTTGGATGTAGTCAGTCTCTCCAGTGCTTGTTGGCTACTAGTGATGTCCAATAAGTTGAAACTGTTGATGATTGATGAAATGATTATTAATAAAGTATGTTCTTTACTTGAGAATATATTAAAACTTTTGAATGAAAATGTATTGTAGAGCCTGATCAACAATCTTTTGCTATTGTAGAAAAGTGCAATACTTGTTGTCTAAATTCATTTGATATTTTGGTCTTCAAAACCATAAATGTCTTGCTATTTACAAGGTTAGAAGCTTTAAAAGTACTTGAAAAATATTTTTACTTTCACTAAGGAAGGTGTTTCCAAGAAAAAATATTGCTTCATAGATTAATTTTTGAAAAATATTTTTTCCATCCCACACCGATTTTTCATGACTTAAAAAAGAAAAAATGCTATTTTTCAAATTCTTATCTTTATGTATTAATTTTTCTTTCAGGAATATGAAGATTTCAAATCTTATCTCCATGCTTTCTTCCCCAAGTAAGTTTTTGAAAATACTATTTTGTAATAAACTTTTATTTATGAGATGACAGATGAATCTTGTTTGTTTGTGTTTTCTAAGAAATGATACTTTTCTTTTATTTTTTGGTCTATATTTCTGAGATGAGCTTATTTACACTATTTACATTGTTTGGACTGTTGTCCTCGTCTTCATATTCACGTCATTTTGGCTGTTGTATGCTTAGGCCTTCTGGTGATATATGTTGGAATTTCGAACTGAACCCTTTAGTCCATGGGGGTGTAGATTGTTCTAATTCCATGTGCCATGCCTTTCTTGGTTATCTCAGTTTCAGTTAATTCTCTTTAGTATCTCAACTCTCCAAGTTTTTTTCTCACTGTTATCACCAGGTATTGTGTTCACAACTCTTTGCGTCAAATCAACTTTTGTATTACTCAACCAACACTTTTATCCACTTGGTCATGCGTCCTTGGGAACAAAAACTTGCAGAGTTGAGTTACTAATAGAGAATTAACTAAAACTGAGATATCCCCCCCCCAAAAAAAAGCATGGCACATGGAATTAAAATTTTCTCCCGTGAATTAAAAAGGTACAGTTTTGAAATTTCGTGATATATTACTGGAAGAAGGCCTGAGTATATATAACAGCCGAATATCTTGTGAATATGGCAATAAAGATGAGGGCAATGCTTTTTTTTTACTACATCAATTTAGGACAATTTATCACGTGATTTTTGTATGAACCTGATCAAAAAGTGAACATTTATCATGTATCTATTATAACCATGTTACATACATTTTAAGTTTCAAAGTACAAAAAATGTGTCTTAAATTTATTTAATCAGAAAGTGATTACAATAATCACTATGCAATTTTTTTTGTGTGTGTTTATGAACAGTAAATTGTGTTAAAGATCTTATTCAAATTTTTCAATGTCTTGATTTGCACTGTGTGTATAAAGGAATTTAATTATACTTTTTAAAACAATATTTTACAACTGGATTTTTCATGAAAATTGAAAATTGTTTTCCAGGTTGATAGATACAAAACTCATGGCGAACATAAATCCTTTTAGGGTAAGACTTTGTTTCTTTGATAAATCTCTCTGCGTGTGAGTCAAACTGCTTTGTTCACCTTTTATGAATTCTGAAGTTATTGTATTTAAAACTTTTTTTCTTTCCAAGATTGCGTCAATAATTAAAAATTGCTCACTTAAAAAAAATGCTTAATTGCCAAAGTTCCTTCATTTTGAAGAAATTCTTTGAAATGTAGATGTTAAATCATAATTAACAGGATTTGTTATTCATGTAAGAAAAATTTCTTCTTTTTTTTTTTTTTTTTTTTTTTTTTTTAATTTAATTTAAAAATTTTTTTTTTAACAATTGTATCTAGCTTAAAATTTAAAAGACTTTGTTATAACTAAAGTAGGCAGATCTTCCATTTGTGTGGAATACAAGTTGTAATGCCTGAATTCTTGCCTGCTGAATGAACACTAATGCGTATACATTTAATTTCTATTTTATTTTTGATCAGGAATTGATATCGAGTAGTTCGTTGGGAGAGCTGTGGAAAATTGTTCAAGTAGATCCTTTCAAGGCTGTTGACATAGGTAAGTTCATCGATCTTTGCTATTTATTTTCCTCTTGTTACCGCGATTTATTTGGAGTTATCTCCCCTCACATTTTGCAAATCCTAATTTCTCTCCTAGTTTCGCGATGAAATGACACTATCCACTTACAGAGGGTTTCTTTAAATTTTATACAATTCTTTTGAAGTAATTGATATTTCTTATATCAAACTGATCAATTATAATAACAAATGGTAATCATTTTAAGTGCTTATATATCTGAATTAATGTCTCTCTCTCTTATATTTTAATACTTTAATTAGAAATGTTGAGTTTGAAGGTTTTTTTGCTTTAATAGTTTTAAAGAGATATTACATGAGAAATTTCTTTGTTCAGTTGATAGGATATCAAAGAACGTTTTTAATTCCCTAAGTTTTAACATAGTTATGGATTGCTTAGTGATTCAGGACAAGGTGTTGGCAAGATATTTTGTCAATATGATGCACAAAAATATTTTGGACACTAAGTAATTTTGAGATTTGTCTTATATTTTTTAGGTTGCCACATTTATTTCTCACTAAATTCAAAATTATTTTTGAGGTTTAATTTTAAGATTTGTTTTTAATAATTACTTGAATTTTGACCTAAATTTTGAAATTCATCAAAACCTTACATCATCAGGAAAATATTTTGTTCTGAATTTAAGAATGTACTAACCTCGTTAGTATTTACTTTTTAAATGATGGCAGAAATAATTTAAAAAAAAAAAAAATCACTTTAGTAGATTCATCTTTGTAGTGCTGTCTAAGAAGCCAGATGCAAATAAGATAGCTTAATTAAGCTTATCTGATGAGTAAAGCCCACATCAGAATTAGACTGGAACTAGGACATGAACAGTGATTTCATCAAAGACACCAGAAAAAGAAAGGTAATATTTATGATTAGAATTTCAGAGCAGTAAAAATGCAAAGAGATGTATATCTACGCTTCATAGATTATGCAAAAGCAATTGGTAAGGTATAACTCAAAGACTTATTTAAATTAAGAAAGCTTAATTTATTTGAGGAAGATATTAGAATCATCCAGAATAAATATTGGGAATACACTAGCTGCATATGGGTAAAAAATGAATTGAGTACACAAAAATAGAAAAGGCGATTTCTTCTCACTGTATTTAATGTTTACAATGAAGTAATCCTAAAAAAAATTAGAAACCTACCAGGGTTTATTATTATTGGTGGGCAAAATCTTAATATAAGATATTCAGATAATGCCATATTGGTTACAGATGCAAAATGAAAACTGCAGGAACTGCCAGACATGGTAGTAAAATGGAAAAGAAAGGACTAAACAGCAATTGTAAGAAGATAGAATTTATGTTCTGTGACATGGTGGCAGTTAATAATTAATTATAACTCAAGACTTCAATGTTAAAATAAAACAGTATAATCAAAGATAAATAACCATTTTAGTGAATACCTTGTTAGTAGTGCGGTTCAAATGTTGGAACAGAAAATTCTGGAATTATTATTACATAGTTTTCACTGGAAAGAACGTCAGATTTATTCACTCCAGATGCTGTCATATATACACATAGTAATTATCTAACCCTAAAAATGCTTGTAACATTGATACATTTGTTGGGGTGGGCATGTCCCTTATTGCACTCGTCCTTGAAGGATCTGGTTGTCTTCTGCTTGCGTCAATAATTTGTCCTTAGGTATTTCCCTCTATTCATAAATAGTTCAGATTTCTTCACTGATGTTAAAACTGTAGTCTTTAATTCTTTCAAAAACTTTTTTTCACATCTTCTGTATGCTGGTTTTGGGTTTCACTTTTTATAAGTACATCAGCCAAGTACGCTTGTGCACAATCCAAACTGACAAGCATCGTATCTAAAATCTGTTGGAATATGCTTGGTGCTAAAAAAGAAGTTGGTTAGATTTGTACAGTCCTTTATGAGTGTTAATTGTTAAGTTTAGAACATGCTTTGTCTACTTGTAGGTAAGCATCCAAAAGATCCAATTTAGAAAAAAAATTTACCACCATTTAATTTGGTAATGGGTAGTTACATTCTTTCAAACTTTCATTTAATCCTGTTGAAAAATCATCACATACAGATTTTATTATTTTTTTTCTTCACATAAACTGTTGGTGATGCCCATTTGGAATAGTCTACTTTTGATATAACTCCTAATTTTTCCAGTCTTTTTAATTCCTTATTAATAGGTTATAATGTTTGTGAAAGTTACAATTCATTTTTGGTTTGAAAACAGGTGTTACATTTTTTTTTTTTTTTTTTTTTACTTCAAATTTAGATTTTATTTTAGTGCATCTACTTAGACCTTCTGAGAAGATTCTGGAGAAACTTAATTCTTTTTTTTTAATTTTTTGGTTGCCGTATTAGTGACAGCACAGCTGTTTGAGGGCTCCTATGGCCTCTCTAAACTTAAATAAACTCGATTCAGGTTTGCTATGGTCAAAATTTTCTCTCCCAAGTAAAAATCATCACAAAAATAGCAAAAGTCATTTTGTCACAGCTTGTTTTCTCTGAAAAAATGGATTTTCATACTTTTATAGGGGTAAAATATTGAAAAATGACTGTTTTATCATCATCTGAACAAATAGCAAGGAAACTTTTGATCTGAACACCATGAAACTAGGTATTTTCTGAAAGCAAACAATATGTTCTTTCATTTAAAAGTAAAATTGGTTGGTGTAAATGATGCAAAGATTTTTTTTTTTCAGGGGTTAAAATGTGAAAAAATAGGTGAATATTTTGTTTTTTTTTTTTTTCTAGTTCTAAACAAAAAAAAATTTTCCCCAGTAATAGGAAATTAGCCTTTTTTTTTTTTTTTTTTTTTAAATCAGAAAGCCATAATCATAATCAGACTATTTCAGGCATAAAATTGAGAGTTTGAAGTAAAACAACATTTCTAGGAGGTCAAAATTCGACAAAGTCTGTTGGTAATTTTCAGTTATATAGCCACTGGGGGTTAAAAAAATTGACACCTGGCCATGGAAATCTTTAGTAAAAGGCGTGAGATTTAGCCTCAATTCCTGATCACCGGAAACCAGGAGTTATTTAAAAAAAAAAAAAAAAAAAAAGCGATAAGGAAAATTAAACCAAACTGACCTTGACATTGTCTGGATCAAAGGCCAGTCAGCCATAAACGTTAGAACAGGCTGTCATTGTCAACTGGTAAATCCTTTCACTGACAAGATAAGAGCAAAGAGTGAAAATGAAATATTGGTAAAAAGGTCTTGATAGTTTTTTTATTTTATTTTTATTTATTTATTTATTTTTTTTTTTTTTCAAACCTATGTTTGAAAACAATGGCTTCATGTGTTTTTTTTTTTTTTTTTTTAACACCTCGTGATGACAACAACACTTAGCAGATGACATTGTCTTTTCGCCGCATATCTTTCATATTTCCCATCGCTGGGTCATGTAGCAGTTCATTTTATTCAATGATGTTCACACTAACTAACTTAAAGAGAAAAGATTGAACTTTGAAAAAAATTTTTTGATGTAAAAGTAGATATTTTTCAATCAAAAAAAAAAAAATACTTTTTTCTTAGAAAATTGGCTACAATTTTTTAATGCTAACCCCTGAGTGACATTTTTTCACAGCCAAATTGAAGATTAATTACCAGTGAATAATTCCACGTGCAGACAATAGCTGTCTGGATCCTATAACATTGCCAAAAACATCTAGAAGTTTACAATAGAACAAAAACAAGCATTTTAAACAGCTGTGACAGAGGTAACATTTATTTTGTTGCAGAATAAATTAATTGGTATGTTCCACAGATCAAATAATTCAATCTGTTCCAAATAAATTCACTGTATTCTTTACCACAAGCACAATTGGTTTTTTGTTGCAGGTTGCACCCATGAAGTCCAATTTCTTCCCTGTAACTCCACAGGCAATTTTTTTTACGTATTTATTTTTTTTTTTCAGAAGTTGCTAAACTAAGTTTACCCATTTTTCTCCATGTTTGTTCATTAATAACAGTAATATCAGACCCTCTATCCAATTGTAGTTTTATTTTTACATTATTAATTTTAACAAAAACAAATTTCCTCTTTTGAGATGTTTCTAAGTTAAAGGCATGTTCAATGAATTTTTCTTTGTAGTTTTTCCTTTAAGTTTCTTTACACAAAGTATTTACCATGTTCACATACGTTCTATTTTTTGTATTTACAATGAGTAAATTTATCCAATCTTCTTACATACATAGCATATTTTGTTCCTGAAAAAAATAATCACTTTTAAATTGTTTACCACTACAACCATGGCAAGCATTGGCTATTGACAAAAGTGTATAATTTTTTTGAATGTTGAGATGTTGCAGAAGGTCTATACTCGTTTTTCATAAATGGTCAGACATTATATACATGAGAACTGTCACTTTCCTCAATCCATGCAGTATCGAGTTTCAGATTAACCATGTGTTGATACTCTTCATCCATTTTCTGGAGAGTTCATTTTGAACCCATCTCTAATTTAGACAGTATTTTAGCTCTTATTTCAGCATCCTTATTAGCACTTAAGCTCTGCATTAAGGCATTTGAATAAATCCAGTGTTAATTCATTTAATTTAAATTTCTCACATTCTCGGTTCACTATTCCAGCATAAGTGACAAAGTTTTCATTGTCATCCTTTAGTAAGTTAAAGCATTGCCAATGTGTGTTAAATAGTGAATATCTATCACAAAAATTTTTTGACAGACTTAATACAGTTTCATCAAAATTTATATCTCGTGGTTTTTTGGCAAAATAACATTCACATACTTTTCATGTTCCACAGAAGACAGTTTCCTTAATAAGCGAACTTTTTTTTCCATCTCAATGCAAACAATCCTTCTTGAAGATTTCTTCATATCTTCTATAATATACTGGAAATGTTATTCCTTTGTCTGGATTGTATAAAAATTCACTAATTGAATTGGCGACGGCATCTGGAGTGAATAAATCTGATGTTCTTTCCAGTGAAGTTCTATGTAATAATAATTCCAGAATAGTCGGTAGTTGCTC